CTCTTACCAACCACCTGCATCACAACATGTTAGCAACTAACTCCGAACGCCTTAGTAACTGCATAGCAACACCTTGGCAACCACCCAGAGCTCTTGCGGTGGACAGTTTTGCACAGGCAAGCAAACAAAACGCCTAAATCTGGCCGGTATTTACTGTGAGATGCATTCAAACAGTTTAGCTGCTGTGATTTGTACAACATAGAGCAGCGCACATTTCCACTCTTATCTCTAGATGTTATCGCCTGTCTGAATATTCTGTTCTCCTCTGCAATTCTCTCTAGGCTGTCCTTACGTGTGATTTATTTTTCAAAGTCATGGAACCTATGGGTAAAAATAAATAAATAATATAAATAAATCATGCAGTGCCTAAGAGGGCAAAGACGAAACGTCAGCAGAAAAAAACGAAAAACAACAGGCAGTTACAGGCCAGCTTGTTTTTACAACACCTTGGTGGAGGACAATTGTGTCTTTTGTTTGGAGGACACGATGGATGGATGGATGGATGGATGGATGGATGGATGGATGGATGGATGGATGGATGGATGGATGGATGGATGGATGGATGGATGGATGGATGGATGGATGGATGGATGGATGGATGGATGGATGGATGGATGGATGGATGGATGGATGGATGGATGGATGGATGGATGGATGGATGGATGGATGGATGGATGGATGGATGGATGGATGGATGGATGGATGGATGGATGGATGGATGGATGGATGGATGGATGGATGGATGGATGGATGGATGGATGGATGGATGGATGGATGGATGGATGGATGGATGGATGGATGGATGGATGGATGGATGGATAGATAGATAGATAGATAGATAGATAGATAGATAGATAGATAGATAGATAGATAGATAGATAGATAGATAGATAGATAGATAAAGTAACATTTTGTTGATTTTATTAATACATATTAATTTAAAATATTTAAATATTTAAATAAAAAAATTGTTCTTTCAATGTTTAGAACGATCAATAGATAGATGGAATGATGGAATGACCGACAGAGTGACAGATTGATAGAACAACAGGCAAAATTATAAAATGCATGGCAGAACAACAGACAAAGATAGAACCACAAAGAGATGGACAGATAGACAGAGATAAAGATAAACAGACAGACAGACAATTATGAGACAATTATGATAGATAATTTCATAATAAATAAAAAATATTCAATTATTTAAATTTCTTAATTGTTCATTGTTTATTCAAAACACATTGAATGAATTTTGATTTGCACAATTTTGAAATGTGAAAAATGTACTTCTGTATTTCTGAATCAAATAAAAAAAAAAACATCCTCTTTCCACATCCAACTCCATAGCAATTTAAACTCAAAATATTGCAAAAAATAATTGACCTGCAAAATTTCAACTAAATTTTTCTTTATTTTTGTTTCTGTTTTTTAAATTTGTATTTAATATTTTCTACAACATATAAATTTGAGTGTACTAATTTTATACCGTAATCGTGAGCTATTTTGTTAGATAAGCTCCAGATTTGGCTTCAGTACTGACTAATCTAATGTATATGCACAAATAGAATAATGTATAGCTTCCTATTAAAAATATGAACTAAAACGAGAGATTTGTAAGGGGTGAACTTATATACAGTTAAAGTCAGAATTATTAGCCGCCCTTTTAGTTTTTTCCCCAATTTATGTTTAACAGAGCAAAGAAAATTTTCACTGTATGTCTAAGAATATTTTTTCGTCTGGAGAAAACCTTTTTTTTTTTACTTCGGCTAGAATAAAAGCAGTTTTAAATTTTTTAAAAACATTTTAAGGTCAAAATTATTAGCCCCTTTAAACTAGATATTTTCGTTAGTCATCAGAACAAACTATCCTTAAACAATAACTTGCCTAGTTAACCTAATTAACCCTGTTAAGCCTTTAAATGTCACTTTAAGCTGTATAGAAGTGTCTTGAAAAATATCTAGTAAAATATTATTTACTGTCATCATGGCAAAGATAAAATAAATCAGTTATTAGAAATGAGTTATTAAAACTATTATGTTTTGAAAAGTGTTGAAAACATTTCTCCGTTAAACAGAAATTGGGGGAAAAAATAAACAGGGGGGCTAATAATTCTGACTTAAACTATATGGTGAGCACTGTATATTTACCTTGAGACACAATTACAATGTTAATAATGTGGGTCTTTAAAAACAAATAAAAATACACTGAATATAATAATGATTATTTATATATATTGTGAATCGTTTAAGAACATAAAATAATTACTGCTCTAAATTTGTCTGCAAGTTAATTTTATTTACTTATTTGTTGAACGATGGTATTTAATCTATACAATAATATACATTTAATCTATTCAATAATAGAATATTTATTCTATTGTTATACTGAATGTCATTTTAGTGGGTGTTTTCCATAAATCAGCCTCATATTACCCTCAAATACTCTTTTAAAGAACAGTTCCATTCAAGTTTAACTCACAAATGGTCGCTTTTCCTTGGAAACAAGGGAACCAGTTTCTCTTAACTAAGCTGATAAATTATGCAAACCTACAAAAGCAACAAACCCAGGCGATGATCACATAAAGGACAAAGCCTGGATTCATGTGGTGATTGCATTTCAGTCATGCATGTATATATCCCCAATGCACATGGTGAAATGATCCCCTGTCCTCCAAGCCAATATACCAAAAGCTTTGTGTTCAGAAACACCGCTGACATGCGAAACGTGCTTTACATAAGCCTGGCACTGGTGGAGAGGTTTGTTTATTACCAGCGAGAGCAGCAGAATTATGAAGCATCAGCGGGCCTGGTCTGTGTGTGTGTGTGTGCACGCATTCACAACAATACAGCAATGAAGCAGTGAAAGCACACCGCATCAGATCGCTCACCCTGCACGTGACAGAATTACAAACTAAACAGTTTTGCAAGATATGGATCCTGCATGCATGACCTATAAGACATGCTGCTGAAGCCCTGAATGAGATGAAAAAGAGCCCGGCTAAACCTGGGTAAAACTCATGAAGGATTGTGAATGGAATTGCAGCATTATTTCAAAGCAAAAATAAAGATCATCCTTGAAATTCTTTGGGATTTTAAGAACACCTGATTCCTAAAAAGATATTGCTACCAAACTACAAATAGAATGGAAAAGGGAATTTCACCATCACAAAATGTGGTCAATATTTTATTTATTAACTTAAAATATTCTTATATTTAAACTTTAGTATATTTGTAATGTAAAAAAAATTATTTCTGTAATTTTGAAACAAAAATGAAATACCACCCCTTTATCACATTCAATTATATATAAACAAGAACATTTCAGACCATCAATAGAATTTTTCCACATGACTTCCTTTAAATGTCCAACAGCAAACATTATTTCGATATAAAAAATGTGCTCAAAATAAAACTCCAATAAAAATAACAGCCCAAATCCTCAAAATCCAAAGAGTTTCAGTTGAGTTTGATTCTCACTGGATTCCATTTGAACTGGTTCCATAGAAATAATAATTTTTCCAAAAGAAACACACGATTCTCAACACTAATGCAGCCATATTCTTCATAGAATATGTATTGAATTTTACATAGGAAAATCATTGTGTCATCTGTAAAAAGATTATGACATTACCAATTAGATTCAAACATGATACTTTTGAATGCTACTTTCAGTGAGATCTGATTCTGATTGGATCCTATATTACTGATTTTAAAGAAATAATATTATAAGTGATATAATAATATGAACTTTCAGTGGTATCTGATTCTGATTGAATCCTATATCACTGCTTCCAAAGAAATAATATTATAAGTGATATAATATTATAATAATATAAACTTCCAGTTGGACTGGATTCTGATTGGATCCTATATTACTGATTGCAAAGAAATAATATTAGAAGTGATATAATATTTTAATAATATAAACTTTTAGTGGTATCTGATTGTGATTGGATCCTATTTTGCTGGTTCCAAATAAATAATATGAGTGATATAATATTATAATATAAATGTCAGTTGGATCTGATTCTGATTGGATCCTATATTACTTGTTCCAAATAATTAATATTATAAGTGATATAATATTATAATAACGTAAACGTTAGTTGGATCTAATTATGTTTTGATCTTTCATTACTGATTTCAAAGAATTAGTGTTATAAGTAATATAATATAATCATATAAACTTTCAGGTTGATCGGATTGTGATTGGATCCTATATAATATTATAATAATATAAACGTCAGTTGGATCTGATTCTGATTTGATTCTATTTTACTGATTTCAAAGAAGTAATATTATAAGTAATATAATAATATAATAATGTAAGTAATATTCCAAAAGAAACAAAGACAGACGAATAATTTGCTATCTTTTGGCTGTATTTAAGCTTTTTATGACTTATTGCAATATTTCAGAACACATCATTGGTGGAAAGCACTGCCATCACCAATACAAAATGGCTTTTATCAACAAATACATAAAAGAAATATCTTTAACTTTAAGCTTCCAAGTGATTTAGGTGCATGTTAAGGTATAAGCAGAGTGCTAATGATCATTTGAATCCAAAACAAAAAACAGAGAGAACAAAATATCCTGAAAGATTTTCACTTTACTCTGTTTCCTATTGAGTTTGGTTGCAAATGTTCAAGCTATCGTAAATATTCCTCCAGGGTCTTTTTTTTTTTTTTTTGACCGTAGGGTGGACACATACTGACGAAGAATCTTGCATAAAACCATACGCTCATCACAGTCAGAAATTAACAAGGAAAAAAATACCATTAAAAAGATCCAAATATATATAAAACAATCAATCATTCCCACTGTTTTAAACCACTAGTCATGGATTTAGTGCCACTGCAGACCCTGAAGTGTTTGTGAAAAGAATTCCGTCAACAATTAAAATCAACCCAGACTAAAACCCCCTTAAACACAAAAGTTAATTTCCGATCCCCGGTGAACATCTATTCAATCCATCACTAATGCGAATGACCGGCTCACCTGGCAAGTTAGCTGTGCGTTAAAAATCCTCAAGGTGATGCGTTTCTTCTTGGCGCAGGATGCGGGACAAAGCTGATAATTTCACCTGCCTCTCCTCTAAAGCAATCACGCGCACCGGGCTGACATATCGGTTTGGAACGGGCGTCTTTGAGCGGCTCCGGTGCGCACCGGGCGTTAATAGCGCAGTGGATCTGCGTTCTCCGCGCAGACACAATGTCCCTTTCGCGACAGGATCCGGTGTGCGGACGCTGCTGCTGCTGTAATTCGGTGAGGCTACAGCGGGTAGGTGTGGTTGGGTGAACGGACGGAGACAGACAACCGTGGCACGGGTCCAAAGACGCGCGGCGCAGTATGTAGCCTATGTGTGTGTGTCCGCCCGCAGATTCACGTGCATATAAAGATATCAATGTCTGAGGATCCTTAAATGGTTTAGAAGATGGTCAATAACGCCATACATCCTCCTGCAGTCTGGAACCGAGTGTCACTCCAAGCGGCTCCTTTGGCGGGGCTCATGAATCACTCTGTGCGGCGTATAAACTGATATTTACATCCACCGGTGAGACGCCGAGCGCTGCGTAAACACAAGCATCATCCACGGGCTTCTGACTGAGGCTCCAAACCATCCGAGAGGGGGATGGATCTCTCTCTCTCTTTCTCTCTCTCTCACACACACACACACACACACACACGCACGCACGCACGCACGCGCGCACACAAAGACAATTCAGAAAGGCAACGGGTGCGCACTCGGATAATTAGATGTAATTAATATCTCACTTGTTTTTTTCCCCCTGTTGATTAAATGGAGAAGGTTTATATTTCTCAGATTTGTCTCCTCAGGGAAAAATCGATCTCACACTAATTCTGAGATTCACTGAGATCTCAACACTGTCTCGAACTGGACCATTAAGACGACCAGCATAGAGATCAATCTGAACTAAAATCTATGTATTTTTTTTTTTTTTTTTTAAAAACTGGTGACTTCATTTGGTGCAGAACTTTGAAAATGTCAACATTTCTGAAGTAATACAAACTGCAGTAAACATGAATTTGTGGAAATAAAAATTTAAATGCATTTTTTCATACTTTTCAATGAAAATAAAAAGCTCTGCTCTTCTAAAATAAAATAAAATTAAATCATTCTTTATTTAATTAATCTACATTTACAAACAGAAACCCCTAAATGCCTCTAAAATGTTTTAACTGAATTTTACAGCACAAACATTTACAAAAATAAGAACTACACAATAAACCTAATAGGACAGTCAATCGCTATACGTATTATTAATTTGTTTATTTCATTATTTGCTTGCTTGTTCCTGGCTTAAATAAAAGACATCCCATTTGGTCCACTTCCAATAAATAGCAAATCGTAAAGTGTTACTTCAGCAATAAAAAAATCAAGAAATAAAATACAAATAATATAGACATTTCATCTACATATGGACAATAAATAAACATATATACACACACACACATTCATATATATATATATATATATATATATATAGAGAGAGAGAGAGAGAGAGAGAGAGAGAGAGAGAGAGAGAGAGAGAGAGAGAGAGAGAGAGAGAGAGAGAGAGAGAAAGATATACATAGCTCATATATACATCCAATTTGGTCCACTTCAATGTTATAAGTAATATAATATTATTTTTTCAGTTGGATCTGATTCTGATTGGATCCTATATTACTGGTTCCAAAGAATTAATATTATAAGTAATATATAGATTATATATAGATTATAACAGAAAGGCATCTTGTAGGTCTTTAAGCAGAGTGCTCATATATGACCATTTGAATCCGACACAAAAAACAGAGATTAAAAGTCCTGAAAGATTTTCAGTTTACTCTTGAGTTTGGTTGCAAATGTTCATGGTCATAAATATTGCTCCAGGATCTTTTTTTTTTTTTTGACCATAGGGTGGACACATTCAGAATCTTGCATAAAATCATATATATATATATATATATATATATATATATATATATATATATATATATATATATATATATATATATATATATATATATATATATTTATTTATTTATTTATTTAATTATTTATTTATTTATTTATAAATATATAGTAATTATTTATATATTATTTCTTTAACTGGCAGTTGTTGACTATATGACAGTTATGTACTACAGCATTTTATTTATTTATTTAATTAATTGCTTGCTTGCTTGTTCATGGCTTATATACACATCCAATTTGGTCCACTTCCAATAAATAGTAAAGTTAAAGTGTTACTACAGCGATAAATAAATCAATAAATAAAATCAAAAATAATATAGAACTGAAACAACATATATTCTGACCGGTAATTACCTATAAATATGTGTCATCATGAAAACTGTAGATTTCAAATGATTAAATCTATAAACTATTACCTTTTCCTCAAAAAAGTAATCTTTTCAAACTGCACAACATCCTCATTGTTTTGATGCTTGAAAATCCTTTTCGTCTTTGATTCACATACAATAGAAGTCAGTGGGCTCTAACGTTGCTCAGTTCACAATGTTTTTCCAATTATCCTCTTTTGTGTTTCACAGAAGAAAGCAATGCGCAATTTCACACAAATCAGGTAGAATCCTTAGCACATAAATATGCTTTAAAAAATAGAAGGATATAAACTAAACATACCATTATTGTTGAATCCCTGTTTATTCAAAGCCCCCTCTCAGGCCAACACAAAGCCTCCTCTCAGATAATGCATATGGCCCATCTGTGGTCTTGACCGCCACACCTACAGGAGCAGCAATAGACATCAACACACTGAAGCAGTTAATGAAGAACGCATAATGATCTGTCACCGTGATCTCACTGCAGACACGGGTCAAGACTGACACCAGATCACCACAATATGGAGTTTATTCTGGATTTCATCAGTATGTTGGAGAATAGACTCAAAAAAGGATGTTTGCTGCTTGTTCAAACTTCTTTTTTAAAATGAGCTGAAACAGCACAATTCGTTAGTTTTTTGGCGGAAAAAAACTTAAATAGTTTATCATCAATCCGCTTGAATTTGTAAGTACTAATAAGTTTTTGAACGACTCTGTAGTTGACGCTGATTGGTCAGCTTGTATTTTTGTTTATTGTTTTGTATTTCATTATTTGAATGTGTATTAATATATGTTTATGTTACAAATTTCGTTGTTTGCGGTTGGCTTGAGTGGAAGGTCTCATGATTCTCTTTGATTGATTTAGCCTGCGAGAGTTTGTATGGTCACTCAGCATAGTGAGATCTCAATGCAAGCACCTGTTAAATGCTCCGGCTTATTCTACAGCTGGTTATCAGGCCGTCACGGTAAACTAAACCTTGTTTTATATATTATTTGTTTATTTTGATGTCCTGTCGATTGTGTTTGTGTGAAACATTTGGTTTGTTTATTTGTTTATCTTTTAGTTTTCACAGTGTTCAATAAAGGAAATGCATATGGACATCAGTATTTGGAAGCGTGGACTGTTTTAGTGAAGTTTAATCATAAACTAATTTTGAGAGGATCACGTGCTTATGATTTATCACGGCCGGTCTCGTATTAGCTAATCACTATCTTCCAATCATATGAGCCCTAAGCTACTATAAATAACCACAGTTTTTGGTCCATTTTATCTTCGTTTGGAAGAAACCCCCCTTCCTCCCCTATTCTCCTCCTTTACCACTGATCGGGTGGCACGGCGGCCCAGCGGTTAGCACTGTGAGCCCTACAGCAAGAACATTGCCGGTCCAGGTCCCGCCAGGCCGGTAGGCATCTCTGTGAGGAGTTTGTTTATACTCCCCGTGTCCGCGTGAGTTTTCCCCGGGGTCTCTGATTTCCTCCCACCATCCAAAGATATACAACATGCATAACAATCAGGCAATTGTCTAATCCCTTTTCTCATGTGTTCCCTTAGCTACAGCTGGAGTTCGGAGATCCACTGAGCTCAGGCTCTCCTCTCGCTCTACCAACGGGAGGAAGCCCCAGGCTCGAGGATGACAGCAAGCCAAACAAGCTTTTGATAGATCATCAGTTAAGTGTGAACTCTTGAAATAACCGGCGGGTAGCTACAGACTCAAACAAATGAAGTTGAACATTGCTAAATTTCAGATGTTTGTTTAAATTCACCCCATAAAAATAGTTTGCAACCACTTACTTTTAAAAAAAGTAAATTCAATGAATTATTTTTTCAGTGAACTCCACGTTGTCCCAACACAAATCGGTTGTGTGGAACTGAGCATTTTTACAGTGCAGTTCATATAAACAAATGCTGTTTTTAAAGTTTTTCTTAAAGTTTTTAACTGAAATATACAGCAAATCAAATCCTTTTAAAAAACTAAGTTAGTTTTTAGTCTTTTAAGCTTACATTTATACAAAGCTATTAAATTATTAACATGATTATTATCCTAATAACTTATAAGAAATGAAATTCAAAGCTTTCTGTAGTCATACTTCCATCATATGTTCATTGTCACATGATCCTTCAAAAATCTTTTTTTATGATCAATAAATATTTTGAACATGATGCATAATCATTTAGAGATCCTTTTATAATTACATAAAAAAATGTAATGTAATTACTTTAACAATTAAATAGTTTTGAGATACCTTTTCAGGATTTTTGATGAATAAAAACTTCAAAGTTCAAAAGAGAAATGCTTATTTCAACTTTTGTAACATTATAAATAAATTTAAAAACTTTATCATTTTAACACATCCCTGCTCCATAAAAACATTGTTTTTAATTCATTCAATAATTTTCCTTCAGCTTAGTCTCTTATTTATTAGGCGTAGCCACAGCGGAATAAACCGCCAACTATTCCGGCATATGTTTTATGCAGCAGATGTCCTTCCAGCCACAACCCAGTACTGAAAAACACAAAATCACGCTCATTCACACACACACTACGGCCAATTTAGTTTATCCAATTCACCTACAGCTCATGTCTTTGGACTGTGGGGTAAACCGGAGCACCCAGAGGAAATCCACACCAACACGGGGAAAACATGTTATATCCACACAGCAATGCCAACTGGTCCAGCCGGGACTCAAACCAGCAAACTTCTTGCTGTGAGGCGACAGTGCTAACCACTAAGCCACCATGCCACCTTGTTTTTGAAAAACGGTGTCTAATAAAATACTCAGATTATATGTCCCAAATCAAATTGTGAACTAGAGACAAAATCACAGGTTGCACGGTCGCGCAGTGAGTAGCAAGTTCGCTTCACAGCAAGAAGATCACTGGTTCGAGCCTCGGCTGGGCCAGTTAGCGTTTCTGTGTGGAGTTTGTATGTTGTTCCCGTGTTGTCGTGGATTTCCTCCGGGGGCTCTGGTTTCCCCCACAAGTCCAAAAACGTGGTACAGGTGAATTGGGTGAGGTAAATTGTCTGTATATGTGTTTGAATGAGTGTGTGTGGATGTTTCCCAGCACCGGCTTGCAGCTGGAAGGGCATCCGCTTTGTAAAACATATGCTGGATAAATTGGCAGTTCATTCCACTGTGGTAACCCCAGATTAATAAAGGGACTAAGTCGAAAAGAAAATGAATGAATGAATAAATTAAACCAAATCACCAAGAAAATAAAAAAGTTATTAGTTGTGTAATGCAACTTGTTAACTTTTTTATGTCAGTAATGTAACGTGAAAACCTTTTTCAAC